TTGATCTATCAGATTGGCCAGCGCAGTAGGCACACTCGATTTAGCAACAGCTCTCCAGGTCCGCCGGGTAGGCGGAGTTTGACGTTTCAGACAAATAAAATCAAGTAAGCCTACGGCCAACAGTGCAACACAAATAATAATAAAAATGGAGCGCAAGCTTTTATCATTGGCTTTTTTATAGATAGTTTGGTGATCGACTATGAATCCCTTGAAAAAGCCATCGACCGGTTGGTGACCACTGCCCTAGATACTGTCTTGCGCGAAAAGCCCAGGAGGGCGGCCGTTTCTGAGATACTGGATCCGTAGCGCCTGGCACCGACGATCATACCACACTCAGTCGCTTAGGTCACTCGTTTTGCCCATTCTAACGTTCAATCGAACAGTAACTGAATGCCTCGATGCATGTCTGCCTGCTTTATATAGCAAGCCACGGCCACATGACACACTGTCTGTAGGAGCGACCCATTTTTGTGAATGGAATGGTGTACCTAGTAAACTGTCTGGTGTGTGTAATATATAATACTGAACAAAAATATAAATGCAACATGCAACAATTTCAACGGTTTTACTGAGTTACAGTTCATATAAGGAAATCAGTCAATTGAAATAAATTCATTTGGCCCTAATCTATGGATTTCACTTGACTGGGCAGGGGTGCAGCCATGGGTGGGCCTGAGAGGGCATAGGCCCACCCACCTGGGAGCCAGCCCACCCACTGGGGAGCCAGGCCCAGCCAATCAGAATGAGTTTTTCCCAGAAAAGGGCTTTATTACAGACAGAAATACTCCTCAGTTTCATTAGCTGCCCGGGTGGCTGGTCTCAGATAATCCCACAGGTAAAGAAGCCGGATGTGGAGGTCCTAGGCTGGCGTGGTTACACGTGGTCTGCGGTTGTGAGGCCGGTTGGACGTTCTGTCAAATTCTCTAAAATGACGTTGGAGGCGGCTTAACATTCAATTCTCTGCCAGCAGTTCTGGTGGACATTCTTGCAGTCAGCATGCCAATTGCATGCTCCCTCAAAACTTGAGACATCTGTGGCATTGTGTTGTGTGACAAAACTGCACAGTTTAGAGTGGCCTTTTATTGTCCCCAGCACAGGGTGCACCTGTGTAATGATCATGCTGTTTAATCAGCTTCTTGACATGCCACACCTGTCAGGTGGATGGATTATCTTGGCAAAGGAGAAATACTCACTAACAGGGATGTAAACAAATTTGTACAGACATTTTGAGAGAAACATCTGCTCGTCGAACATCTCATTCCAGAATCATGGGCATTAATATGGAGTTGGTCCCATCTTTGCTGCTATAACAGCCTCATCTCTTCTGGGAAGGCTTTCCACTAGATGTTGCTGTGGGGACTTGCTTCCGTTCAGCCACAAGATCATTAGTGAGGTCGGCACTGATGTTGGGCAATTAGGCCTGGTTCGCAGTCGTTGTTCCAATTCATCCCAAAGGTGTTTGATGGGGTTGAGGTCAGGGCTCTGTGCAGGCCAGTCAAGTTCTTCCACACCGATCTCGACAAACCATTTCTGTATGGACCTTGCTTTGTGCATGGGGGCACAGAATCATCTAGAATGTCATTGTATGCTGTAGCATTAATATTTCCCTTTCGCCACACCTGAAACATTTAGTTGAAATTGTATTTTATCTCGGAGAAAGCTAATTGATTGCACCCAAATTGGCCATTTTAATTTAAAGGATTCAGGTAATATTTAATATATATACACTACCGTTCAAAAGTTTGGGGTCACTTAGAAATGTCCTTGTTTTCGAAAGAAAAGCATTATTTTTGTCCATTAAAATAACATCAAATTGATCAGAAATACAGTGTAGACTATTGTAGCTGGAAATGGCTGATTTTTAATGGAATATATACATAGGCGTACAGAGGCCCATTATCAGCAACCATCAGTCCTGTGTTCCAATGGCACGTTGTGTTTGCTAATCCAAGTTTATCATTTTAAAAGGCTAATTGATCATTAGAAAATCCTTTTGCAATTATGTTAGCACAGCTTAAAACTGTTGTGCTGATTTTAAAAAAGCAATAAAACTGGCCTTCTTGAGACTAGTTGAGTATCTGGAGCATCATCAATTGTGGGTTCGATTACAGGCTCAAAATGGCCAGAAACAAAGAACTTTCTTCTGAAACTCGTCAGTCTATTCTTGTTCTGAGAAATGAAGGCTATTTCATGCGAGAAATTGCCAAGAAACTGAAGATCTCGTACAACGCTGTGTACTACTCCCTTCACAGAACAGCACAAACAGGCTCTAACCAGAATAGAAAGAGGAGTGGGAGGCCCCGGTGCACAACTGAGCAAGAGGACAAATACATTAGTGTCTAGTTTGAGAAACAGACGCCTCACAGGTCCTCAACTGGCAGCTTCATTAAATAGTACCCGCAAAACACCAGTCTCAACGTGAACAGTGAAGAGGCGACTCCGGGATGCTGACCTTCTAGGCAGAGTTGTAAAGAAAAAGCCATATCTCAGACTGGCCAATAAAAAGAAAAGATTAAAGATGGGCAGTCTGAGATATGGCAATTTCTCGCATGGAATAGCCTTCATTTCTCAGAACAAGAATAGACTGACGAGTTTCAGAATAAAGTTATTTGTTTCTGGCCATTTTGAGCCTGTAATCGAACCCACAATTGCTGATGCTCCAGATACTCAACTAGTCTCAAGAAGGCCAGTTTTATTGCTTCTTTAATCAGCACAACAGTTTTCAGCTGTGCTAACATAATTGCAAAATGGTTTTCTAATGATCAATTAGCCTTTTCAAATGATAAACTTGGATTAGCAAACACAATGTGCCATTGGAACACAGGACTGATGGTTGCTGATAATGGGCCTCTGTACGCCTACGTAGATATTCCATAAAAAATCAACCGTTTCCAGCTACAATAGCCATTTACAACATTAACAATGTCTACACTGTATTTCTGATCAATTTGATGTTATTTTAATGGACTTTCAAAAACAAGGAAATTTCTAAGTGACCCCAAACTTTTGAATGGTAGTGTAGCTAAAGGCGCAAACATGCGCTTAAAAGGTTCCGTGCGGTGAAGAAATGGAGATGCGGTTAACAGAGTCCCAAAAAATTACAGAGATAAACATGTCAAGTGTTAACTTTGACAGCCCTAATATTTATTGAATAGTATCTGAATTCTATAAATTAAAATGGCCAATTTGGGTGCAATCAATTAGCTTAATTTCTCAGATATCAAATTATAATTCCACAAAATCTTTCAGGAATGGTAATTGTATCTGTTAGTAACTATATAAATGAATGGGTGTCTAAATCCTATTTCTTGTGCTTTTCGAGGTGAAATGACCCATTGGTCAGTAATCCTCCCCACTGAGCTTAAATCTTGATCCTCGTTAGCTAGGCTAGTAATTAATGCTAGGGGCCAGTTGCGCTTGGCTCCGCGCCTGGAATGCAGTCAAGCTGGCAAATCCATGGTTACTAACGGGTATAGGATTCTCTGTGATGTTGTCCTGCAGGCCAGGGAATCTACGGATAGTTCAGTATCTTCATCTGTAAAGCTGGAGCAGAGGCCAGCAGTAAGCCTCCGTGACTGTCAGTTGGCCTACAGCATGGATCATCAACTAGATTCAGCCAGGGTGCCGGAACATCATTATAAATAATTTGTAGACTGAAAGTTGACCACAAGAAGCTCAAACAGATATACTGTTTGACTAAAACATAATAATTTCAAACCTTGCTTACATGTCCCTCTATTATGCGTGGGAATACTTGGGAACATATTTCTTAAATTAAAATCACTTGGAGCTGATTTCCTGGTGTTTTTACTGTCTTTTACAGTCTTATGTCGCCAGTTGGGGAACCCTATTAGGTAGAAGTCACCTCTAATTAAGGGTGCGTTCGTAAATTGCCTCTATTGTGTCAGTGCGCTCTGGATCGTTAATAAATTCAGAACGTTGTCAGATTGCCTGTTCGTAAATTCAGAGCATTTCGCTCTCGGCGCATTAAGAGCGCACATTTGATGCTCTGGTGGAGGAGTAGGGTTGATCCGAGCGTTCTGACCTTACAACGGCAGTCAAGCACCCAAGCTAACTGGCTAAAGTAAGCTAGCTTGCTAGCTACTTCCAGACACAAAGAACACCTCACTCTGACCGTCTTACTCGCCCTAGCAGAGCTGGTTAGGCTGTTTTCATGTTATCTAGAGCGTTAGTGACTGTAACTGTGCTGCTGGCAACAATTTAATTACTTTTTTTGCCTGAGAAGCCCGTTTTTGGAGGATATAATTGGCACGGGTGTTGTTAGGGCCGAGACGAAGTCGAGGGCAATCAAACCGTGCCAATATATCCTCCAAACACCGGCTTCAAGGGCATTATCACTTTTATACAACGGGTTACCAACATATTCAAATAATGATTGACATATTTTCATTAACTTTAATTTTATGAATATCTTCATACTATTTGATCCTTCCATAAAATATAGTCCCGACACAAATCTAGGGTTGCTGCCCAAGCCGGCTGGTCGTTCTTTCTATCGGTTCGGTTGCCAGAGACGCGACCCAGTCGTTAAGTCTTTTTGTTCTGTATCTATGGTCGCGACCCAGTCGTTCGTTCTAAATGTTCTATTGCCATACTGACTGGCAACGTTCATATCCCTTGCTTGCTAGCTAGCCAACTATGGCTAACTTACATTCACGTCAAACAGTACAGCCAGAATAACAACAAAGTTGTTGAATTTGCTTATTTTTAAGCTGTTTTCTAGTGACATTTATTTGGATCCAAGCTGCCTGCCTGGCTGTCTCATCCCGACACGTTCATTACTATGCGACAGATGGAGATCGATTTTGAATATTTAAACAATGTTGCAAATGTTGGAGAGACAGACAGCAAGGTTTATACAAATCTCCACTGTTGAAAACTAAATGTTAGTCTAAAATAAATTCCCCTAATGGTGAAGGTTAGGACTGATAGTCTGACTAGTTAGCAAAATACAAGCCACACATTTATCTCTGTTTCAGGTCCAGAAGCTACAATGCATGTGTCCAGTAGATTTCAGAGGGGTGTTCCAGCTGGACGAGAGAAGGAGGGATGCGGTCATAGCTCTGGGCATCTTCCTGGTTGAGTCGGACCTACAGGTACATTGAACTGGAGCAGCTAGGCCTACTCTCTGACACTGTTAATGGTTGCGTTTATATAATGCTTTATATGGGACGGATGTTCCCTGAGTCCCTGACCCTCTCAGACCAATAACTGGCTCTTATCTCAGCACCTTGTGTGCCCCCCTTCGCTGTTTAGCTCCTATCCCAGAACCTTGTATGCCCCCTTAGCTGTTTAGTGTCTTTTGCTCGAGTGGTTTGTGATTTTATGTTTTTATTGCAGCACAAAGACGCTATCGTCCCCTACCTGCTGGGGCTGCTGAAGGGACTTCCCAGAGTTCAATGGATCGAAGAAAGCTCTGGAAGCAAGGGACTTGGTAAGGAAGGAGCATTTGTCTGTCTCGTAACATTCCGTATGATGTCTAATTCAGCCTATCTGACTGGTTGATGATCTATCTTCCTGTCCTGCAGTGATCCTGCCGGTAGCAGAGAACTTCTCCTTCTGTCTGGGCACTCTTCTATCTGACGTTGCCCAGCGAGATGACACCTTGCGAGGACAGATCCTGGAGGCCATCATGGACATAATGCAGGTCCTGCTGGACATCTGCCTGAAACCAGAGAGCCATGATAAAGGTACCAGCATGCTCTCTATGCCACAATTTCACTTTCACCAGTGTTAGTTCCTGGTTAGTTATCGAGTTATTTTCTCTTGTCCTCCTCACAACCTTTGGGATGTACGTAGATGGACAGAGAAAGCGCATAAAATGAAAAAAGCAGCCGTTCACCTGTCTGTCTCTTTCTCTCCCCCCTCTCCCTTCCTCCCTAGAATACATGTGCCGGTACACTGTGCCCTGCCTGTTGGGTGTGGCCCGAGCCTTTGGTCGCTATAGCAACACGGAGGAGCCCCTGCTGTCCAAGCTTTTTCCGCGGGTGGGAGCCCCGCCCCTTTCCGGTGCCGAGGAAGCTGACCCGTCTCGACGGCGCTCCTTCAACGACTTCCGCTCCATCATGCCGGCCTCGCTGCTCACAGTTTGTCAGGGTGACACCGTCAGATGCAAAGGAAGCTCCGTGTCCAGCATATCACAACAGGTACTATTACCATACTATACCAATACTACTACCATTACTACTGCTACACCATAGTTACTGCTCATCGTGTGTCAGGGAGACACCATAAGACGCAAGGGCTCTCCTCTTTTACTATTTCTATATCACTACAGAGAATACAGCAGTAGTAACATAGCCTACCACTAGAGGTCAGAGGAAGCTCGTATTTGAAATGTCTGAAAATTGTATTTTCCTCTGTGTCTGTAGGCCAGTCCAGAGAGAGCAGGACTGACCCTCAGCTCCCCAGCTGATCCCTCCGCACAGTACTTTGAAGGTGAGAAAATATAAGAAAGGCAATATATTTCTCAAGTATCAGTTGATTATTTATGACTCACTTTTGGACTGATCCTTTTCTCACTGTCTCTCCCTCCTATCCCTCCCTATCCCGAAAAAAGAAGCGAGAACGAAAAGAGAACCCCCTCCAGCTCTCTCGAGATCCCAGCCTCCAAGCGAGAAAGAAAGAAAGAGAAAACCCCATGAACGAAAGAAGAAAGCCTCTGCTCCACTCCCGACCTCCCTCCTCCCAAGACCCTCCCCCTCCTCACGAGAGAAAAAAAAGAAAGAGAAACCCAAGAAATCCTCCGGAACGAAAGATCGAACGAAAGAAGACCAAAAAAACGCAGAGAAACCAGCCCGAAGAGAAGCAAGAACGCAACATCCCATCCCTCTCTATCCCTCCCTCTCTATCCCTCCCTCTCTATCCCTCCCTCCCTCCCTCCTATCCCTCCCTCTCACCCTCCCTCTCTCTATCCCTCCCTCCCTCTCTCTATCCCTAACTCCCTCTCTCTATCCCTCCCTCCCTCTCACCCTCCTTCCCTCTCTCTATCCCTCCCTCCCTCTCTCTATCCCTCCCTCCCTCCCTCTCACTCACCCTCCCTCCCTCCCTCCCTCTCTCTATCCCTCCCTCTCTATCCCTCCCTCCCTCTCTCTATACCTCCCTCTCACCCTCCCTCCCTCTCTCTATCCCTCCCTCCCTCTCTATCCCTCCCTCTCACCCTCCCTCCCTTTCTCTATCCCCCCTCTCACCCTCCTTCTCTCTCTCTCCAGGCTCCTATCTCCCTGATGGTAGTGCTGTGGACCCAGACTATTATTTCTCCACCATCAGTTCTAGTTTCTCTGTGTCTCCTCTGTTCACTGGCAATGCCCAGGGAGAATTTGATGTCCCTCTGGACATTCTGCGCAAGCTCCTCAACATGGTCAGTACATGTGTAGAATCAGAATGAGTATAACTATAGAATCAGATTGGATAGAACTATAGAATCAGAACGGGTAGAACATCGTTTTTCAGAATTCATTTCTGAGTGTTCTGTTTGTCTTATGCAGGTTGAGCAGTTTGTCGCTGAATCCTTTCTGAAAACACTGGATGACACCCTGCAGGAACTTCTGGAGGTAGGTTCATTTCCCCTCTATTTTAATTAATGCACTTTCCTGTGTAGTCCTCAAGATAAATGTTACATCATGTTTGTTGTGTTCTCTCCCTCTAGTTGAACCCAGGTATGCACCTGTACTACAGGACCTTCAGTGATCCTCTGTATGTGGCCATCTTCAAGATGCTCAGAGACACGTTGTACAACCTAAAAGGTAACAAACCCACTGATCTCTCACCCTAACCTTTAAAGGTGGAAATCTGCAGTTGCTACATACATTTTTGGTCTTATAAATGAATGATATACCCATTTATTCTTGAAGAATAACTTATAAATGCCTCTTGAACTCAACTGTCGTACCCCATCAGAACTCAAAAGATACGTTTGTTGTACTCCATTGTTTATAAACAATGTTTTGTTAACAAATGCTGTACAGCCTCAAAACATGGTTAAAACTATCATTTTGATTTGGTCAGTCCTTGCATCCGTAGCTCTATTTATGAATTTGAGAGTGGTTACATTTCTCCAGCCCCATCCCTCAGCTGTTTATCAACACCAGTAGCGGTGTTATTGTTTGAACTGCAGATTTCCCCTTTAACCTGACCCTAACCTTTAGCCTAACCTTTACAATACTATCTCTAATATACAGAAAGCCTCTGATATGACCTGATTTGCTATTGTTCTGAAGCAGTTCAGCAGACTGTTTACTACATGTGTTTATGACTGTTTTACTAGCATGTTATTAATGTTGGTATGATTGTGTTCCCAGACCTGCAGACGGGCTATGTGAAGGAGGTTCATGACTTTGTGCTGGAGCAGTTCAGTAGCAGCCAATCGGAGCTGCAGAGGATCCTACATGACGTAGAGTACCTCCACAGTGAGCTGAGTCCTCTGAAGCTACGCTGCCAAGCTAACGCTGCCTGTGTCGACCTCATGGTCTGGGCTGTCACTGAGGAGCAGGGTAAGAGAGTGTGTGTGTGTGTGTGTGTGTGTGTGTCGATCCGTGCGCATGTATTGAACAATTTGGAATGAATTGGACACGTAAAAAAATATATATAAATCAGGTCATTAATTTAGAATGAACACAAACCAACTGTTGTTCATGTGTTTTGTTTTGATCAGGAGCTGAGAACCTGTGTACCAAGCTGTCAGAGAAACTGCAGTCAAAGACGTCCAGTAAAGTCATCATCGCTCACATGCCCCTGCTCATCTGCTGTCTCCAGGTAGGGCCTGTGATGCCGATAGTGGTTTCCTCCAAGTCTGTTCCTATTTTTATCTGTCTTCACAATATTGTGTTGATAAGAGTGCCATAATACGAGTATCATCATACCTAATACAAAATGTCCTGTGTGTGTGTGTAGGGTCTGGGTCGTTTGTGTGAGCGGTTCCCGGTGGTGGCCCACTCTGTCACCATGTCTCTCAGAGACTTCCTGGTGGTCCCCTCTCCTGTCCTGGTCAAGCTGTACAAGTACCACAGCCAGTACACCACAGGGACTGGAGAGGTCAAGATCCACGTGACCAATGAGCACTCCCAGTCTACGTTCAGTGCTCATGCTAATAAGAAGAGCCAGCCCTCGATGTATGAACAGCTCCGAGACATCTCCATAGACAACATCTGCAGGTAAGGAAAGGAAAGACGACATGCTGTATGAAACGACTTTTGATTTGAAAGAAGAGAAATATGAGCAATGTTCGCTCCTTTCATTGGTCGCGGTAACCAAGTATGCGCTCTGTTTTTTTCTCTTCTCTCCACTCTTACTCTATCTCTTTCTTTCTCTCTCCTCTCTCCCTCCTCTCTCTCTGCCCCCCCCCCCCCCCCTTCTCTCAGGTGTCTGAAGGCAGGTCTGACAATGGACAGTGTTATAGTGGAGGCTTTCCTAGCCAGCCTGTCCAACCGTCTATACATCTCTCAGGAGAATGACAAGTAAGTCTATCTGACCCATCCCAACATTACCTCTTACTTTACTTATTAACAGGCTGTACTACCTCTGAGAAATAACTGTCAATGTTAGCTAGTGAACCTCAGGTGATCTTGCTACCTAGAAAGACAATCCTGCAGTGTTTGACAGGAGCTCTAACCAATCCCCATCTCCGTGGCAATGACTCGCAGCCCCTCTGACCAACCGTATGTCTCTCTCTCCCCCCAGAGAGGCCCACCTGATCCCAGACCACACCATCAGAGCGCTGGGTCACATCGCGGTGGCACTGAGGGACACGCCCCGCGTCATGGAGCCCATCCTGCAGATCCTACAGCAGAAGTTCTGCCAGCCGCCTTCACAGCTAGACGTACTCATTATAGATCAGCTGGGATGCATGGTCATCACTGGGAATGTGAGGCACACACACACTTGATCCTGTCTTTTCCCCTCTCTCCCCTTAGCAAAACATCCCTCAGTAAACTCACCCCCTCCCCTCTCTCTCTCTCTCTTTCTCCTCTCAGTAAACTCACCCCCTCCCCTCTCTCTCTTTCTCCTCTCAGTAAACTCACCCCCTCCCCTCTCTCTCTCTCTCTCCTCTCAGTAAACTCACCTCCTCCCCTCTCTCTCTCTTGTCTCTCAGTAAACTCATCATTTTCTCTCTCCTCACAGCAATATATCTACCAGGAGGTGTGGAACCTGTTCCAGCAGATCAGTGTGAAGGCCTCCTCCATGGTCTACTCCAACAAGGACTACAAGGACCACGGATACAGGTATCCTTAGCCCCTACACCTTTACCCCCTAGCCTATCCCCAGTGGCGAACCATGACTAAGCCTTCAGAGGGACCAAAAATCTTCCAATACGTTGTATCAAACTAAAAAAATCAAGAAAATAACAGAAAGCATAGCATCACTTAATGCGCCCGACATTATATCTTCTGTAGTTGGACCATCCTAGTTCTAGTGAAGGAGGAGCAATGCTTTTTGATGACATTATGAATGAATCAAACAGGCCTGGCTGCGCTTCGGGCTGCTGCACAAACAGAGACAGAACCGGTACGGACACGACATGTGACACACAGCATAAAATAATGCGACCAGCAATACAAAAACACATTGACCAGGTTTACATGCGCACAGTATTCCGGATAGTAGTTCATATCCCGCTTAAGGTCTTATTCAGGGATAAGCTGTTTACATGTACCTTTGATATCCCGCTCACTAGTATCCCTGTAACCATGAATAAACAGAATATTCCTAATTGAAGTTCATAAAGGTTAAATGGAATAGTAACTGAAATCTGGACACTGACTATAAGCCTATAACCTCTCACATGTAGCCTAATATAATATTAACTCCTGCAGAATTATGCATTTCTTGCAGTAAAATGATATAACAAATGTTCATTTAGTCTCGGGAACAGGAGTTGAGAAATATGCTTTCTTTCTTTCAGCATCTGTTGAGAAAATGCAAATGCGTGTGTAACGTGTTGTCTTTGACACTGATATGCAAGCAGACAGTATTTCAACCACATAAAATATGCACCCAAGACGAACTGAAGTCTTATCAGAAACGTGTTTCATCCATTTCTCAGCTTTTCCTTAAAACCGGTCAAACTGATGACATTTGGACATTTTGCACAGGAACAATCTTTCCACTGTTGTGGAGTTATTGCGTTTTCTCCCCGGTTCCTAAACGAAACAGACAACTTTACCGGTGTCAACTAGATTACTATTGCATTCATTCTATCGATGTAAGACATTCTGGTGAGCACTGCTTTATTTAGTCTTCTGGGGCAACAAGTTATGACAGAAGAGAAGCTGCATGTATCTATCTAACTATAGTTGACAAACAAATGGCCTACCAAATGTCGGAAATTATAAGCAAAAACGTATTTAAATTAGGCGTGAAAGTTGCATAAGCCAGTAGGCCAGCGTTTCCCAGACTCGGCCCTCGGGACCCCAAGGGGTGCATGTTTTGGTTTTTGCCCTAGCATTACAGCTGTGTAGTACTCCAGCAAAAACCAAAAACGTGCACCCCTTGGGGTCCCCAGGACTGAGTCTGGGAAACGCTGCAGTAGGTTATATGGTCCAGTAGCCTGCGGAGTATCAGCAAAACAAATTATTCTAGATTTATTATGGTGGATCGAACTGCGCAGGTAGCCTACTTTTTGAAGTGATTTGTTTGACAATCGGATGAAAACATCAGCACACAACACCCGTGATGTGCGGAACTGAGCCTGCGCAGACCGCGAAAAACAACAGTAAATGAAATAAGATGTTTACATGCCACAGTATCCCGTCTAAGATAAACATATCCCAGGCATCTATCCGGGTTTCTCATAACGTGGATACAAGCTTTTTCAAGTTATTGTAAATGGGATATGATGTTTATATGCGTCAACTCAAAAAAAGAATACTTGCGTATCCCGAATAATAACGGGATATTGGTGTGCATGTAAACGTGGTCACTGTTTACACAACCTATGGTACCTAACACCACTATCACACGATCACCAATAGCGACGACAACAGTGACACATCAAAGGTGACAGGCTCGTTGTGCTGAAAGGACAGCGACCGTAATACCTGTGCTCTCCATGGCCTGAAGGAGAGCCAGTTTTGGTCGAACACATAGACACGGCTGATAGACAGGCGACAGCAGTCACACACAGCATCACATCATGTTAAAGAATAAGCAGCCCATTCACTCCAGTAGGCCCCACGCAATCAGAGCAATACAAATGGCAGAGGCCTTCTGTACAGCTTCTGAAGGTCTAGCCAATGACTGGCTGAGATAGATTTCTCTACCCAGATAACCAAAGAAAAATCCTGATAGGGTATTTTCTTCTCTTCAGTATTTACCCACTCGCTTTCCGACTAAAACTGAAGAGATGAAATCAGAAGATCATTACAATTATTGTAAAGATGAAATGGCAATTGAAATGTAATTTAAAAAATCTATACATTCTGTTTAAATCCTCAGGCCTTCCCTGTTCCCCACGGTCCCCCACTGCCTACCCCTACTCACTGCCCATAGCCAGCTCCATGACCCACTATACTAAAAACGAGTGTGTTCATCTCACGTGTGTTTCAGACACTGTTCCCTGGCGGTGATCAATGCGTTAGCTAACATAGCAGCTAACCTGGCCGCAGAGCAGATGGTAGATGAGCTGCTGGTCAACCTACTGGAGCTGTTTGTCCAGCTTGGACTGGAGGGAAAGAGGGCCAGCGAGAGGGCCTCGGACAAGGGCCCTGCACTGAAGGTACACTCCATTTCCACAGTAACCATGATTTACGCTAGACTATAGGGTTCCTCGACAACAGGCTTGTGTTAGACGTTGTTTTGCGTTGACATAGTTTAGCTATCATTTTTTTTCTTTTCAGGCGTCAAGCAGTGCTGGAAACCTTGGAGTACTGATTCCTGTTATTGCTGTGGTATGTGGGTTGCCTCTATACATTTTTATTTTCAACGGTTTGTGCAGTATTGCCTCTGTGCTTCGAGTGTCTATACAGTACTACATATATCATCTATACACTTAGTGTTGATCTAGATCTCCTCTCTCTGTGTAGCTGACAAAGCGTCTGCCGCCCATCAAGGAAGCAAAGCCTCGTCTGCAGAAGTTGTTCAGAGACTTCTGGCTCTACTCTGTGGTGATGGGCTTCGCTGTTGAGGGATCAGGTGGGTGTTTAAGATTATATTAACATATACTACAATATACCACCAGCATTGGTATACAATATAGAATTGACTAAACTTGGTTTAAATGGTGGGCTAATAATACCCATTTGATGGAAAGATGAAAGTGAGTTTATCAGGCTAACAGTCATTCTGCTGTGTAGAAGTGCATAGGTTTATGAAGGGTTTTGTGTGTTGTGTAGGCCTGTGGCCAGAGGAGTGGTATGAGGGAGTGTGTGAGATCGCCACCAAGTCCCCCCTCCTCACCTTCCCCAGTGGAGAACCCCTACGCTCTGAACTACAGTACAACTCTGCCCTGAAGAACGACACTGTCACAGCAGTACGAAACGCAACCACACACTCAACACACACACATACATACAGATCGTGTACAGACATACACACACGTCCTACTACAAACACATACACACACACTTGGCTGATGTTCCCCGGTTGTCTGTGTGTGTGTGTGTTTTCAGGCGGAGCTGAATGACCTGAGGAGCACCATTATAAACCTGCTAGATCCTCCTCCTGAGGTGGCTGCTCTCATCAACAAACTAGACTTCGCCATGTCTACCTACCTACTGTCTGTTTACAGGCTGGAGTACATGAGGTAAGGAAAGAAGGGAAAGAAAGCCACTTAGGACTATCGAGATGCACCCTGCTGTTTCTGTCTGTCTAGAGTGTAGCAGTTGGAGGGTAGTTATAGATAGTTATAGGAATCTCCCAGTCATCCATCTCTCCCCTCTTCTCTCGTCAGGATGCTGCGTGCTCTAGACTCTGACCGGTTCCAGGTGATGTTCCGCTACTTTGAGGACAGAGCCATCCAGAAGGACAAGTCTGGTAAGCTACATTACACATGTATTAGACTGCTATTACACATGTATTACACATGTATTATACATTTATTACGCGTATTACACATGTATTTGGCGTTTATTCCACATGTTTTAGACAGTGATATATAATGAATGTCTAATGAATGTATCTTCTCTGTCTCCAGGTATGATGCAGTGTGTGATAGCTGTTGGGGACAAAGTGTTTGAGGTCTTCCTACAGATGATGGCTGAGAAGGTAAGCTCGTCGGACAACATTTAACACAACACTAGCTATGGAGTCATACAATGAATATTTGAGGACCATCATAAGATTCAATCAAAACGGAGAAACTAAAAAACGTCTGAAAGTCAAGAACAACTGACCCTCTGTAGAGCTTGTCCTCTCCAATGATTGATTGATTGATTAACTAAGTGTTGTTCTCTCTGTGTTTCTCTCCCCAGCCGAAGACTAAAGCCCATGAGGAGGAGTTGGAGCGCCACGCTCAGTTCCTATTGGTCAACTTCAACCACATCCACAAGAGGATCCGTAGGGTGGCCGACAAATACCTGTCCGGTCTGGCCGAAACGTTCCCCCACCTGCTGTGGAGTGGCCGTGTACTGAAGACCATGCTGGACATCCTGCAGACCCTCTCCCTCTCCCTCGGCGCAGTACGGACACACACTCTCTTTTAACCACCTGTTATTGTTATTCTCTGTGATCCTCAATGTATTGAGTTGTGCTCCTACTTTGTGTAAAGGACATCCATAAGGACCAGCCGTACTACGACATCCCAGACACTCCCTACAGGATCACTGTACCAGACACATACGAGGCCAGAGAGGTAGGAATGGGTGTTTGATGTGTGTGTGAGTGTGTGTGTTTTCTGAGTGTTGCGCTGACGTTTCTCTGTGGTTGTAGAGCATAGTGAAGGACTTTGCTGCTCGCTGTGGGGAGATCCTGAAAGAAGCCATGAAGTGGGCCCCCTCTGTCACCAAGTCACACCTACAGGTGAGCTACACACACACACACACACACACATTTTGTAAAGGAAAAGCAGATAGAAACGCATTGCAGATGTTCTGTCAAATCATTGTTCAAAAGAGCTTCTTGATGGCTTTTTGAGGAAGTCAGGGTTTTAGATGAATCTTCTCTTATTCCCTGTTTTTGATGTTTTCACCATAATCTCCAGGAGTACCTGAACAAGCATCAGAACTGGGTGTCAGGTCTGTCCCAGCACACTGGCCTGGCCATGGCTACAGAGAGCATCCTGCACTTCGCTGGCTACAACAGACAGAGCACTACGCTAGGGGTGAGAACACACACACACCTAAAATGTATTTCCATTCAAAAGCCTACTTTCCCTAACACTAACACTAACCCTTACCTTAACCCCTAACCCTAACCCCAATTCTAACCTTAACCCTAATTGCAACCCTAAGCCTAAAATAGCCTTTGTCCTAGTGGGGACCTGGAAAATGTCCCAACGAGGGAGAATTTTCCGTGTTTTACTACCCTAATGGGGACTTTTGGTGATTTCCGGTACCCACAAGGATAGTATTTTCCCTAACCCTAACTTTAACCCCTAAACCTAACCCTAACTCCTAAACCTAACCGCTAACCCCAACCTTAATTTTAACCCTAATTCTAACCCTAAACCTAACCCCTAAGCCTAAAATAGCCTTTTTACAAGTGAGGACAGGCAAAATATCCTCACTTCTCAGAATTGTAGGACTTCTGGTACTCACAAGTATAGTAAAACGTGTACACACACTAACCAAGTCCCTTCCTCCCCTCCAGATCACCCAGCTGACGGAGAGGCCAGCCTGTGTGAAGAAAGACTACTCCAACTTCATGGCCTCACTCAACCTGAGGAACCGCTATGCCGGAGAGGTACAGAGAGACACTACTACAGTTCTAGACAGTACTCCACTTATTTCTTCTGAATAAACAGAACAATGTTGTGAGCATTTGTGTGTCTGTGTGTGTCTGTGTGTGTCTGTGTGTGTCTGTGTGTGTCTGTGTGTGTCTGTGTGTGTGTGTGTGTCTGTGTGTGTGTGTGTGTGTGTGTTTGTTTCTCCCTCCAGGTGGCAGGAATGATCCATTTCAGTGAGGCGGTGCATAGCCAGTCAGACCTGTCCAGGCTGATGGTCAGACAGATGACAGAGGCTCTGGACATCCAGAACCCTGAGGCATTCACTGAGAACATGTTCAAATTGGCTGCTCTGCTTATCAGCACTAAAGGTGTGTGTGCTGACAAGTTAACTTTGATTTAGAAGGGAATAAAGGCACCATATAGCCCAGGGGTGGGCAATCATTTTGGCTCGAGGGCGACATCGGTCTTTCAAAATTCACCGGACTTGCTTTTTCACCGGACCGATTTGTTTGTCAAAAGCAATTCGCAGGCCAGAAAAAGGGCAGCTTTTTGAAAACGGATAGGTCCATTATAATTTCTACATACTTTCTATCTAGTTTTAGACGTTCAAGAGTGGCCTGGATTTATTATATAAAAAATATATATACAGTGCCTTAGGAAAGTATTCAGACCCCTTGACTTTTTCCACATTTTGTTACGTTACAGCCTTATTCTAAAATGGATTAAATCGTTTTTTCCCCTCATCAATCTACACACAATACCCCATAATGACAAAACAAAAACAGTTTTTAAGAAATGTTTGCTAATTTATAAATAATTAAGAAACTACAATATAACATTTACATAAGTATTCAGACCCTTTACTCAGTACTTTGTTGAAGCACCTTTGGCAGCAATTACAGCATCGAGGCTTCTTGGGTATGACTCTACAAGCGTGGCACACCTGTATTTGGGGAGTTTCTCCCATTCTTCTCTGCAGATCCTATCAAGCTCTGTCAGGTTGGATGGGGAGCGTTGCTGTACAACTATTTTCAGGTCTCCAGAGGTGTTAGATCGGGTTCAAGTCCGGGCTTTGGCTGAGCCACTCAAGGACATTCAGAGACTTGTCCCGAAGCCACTCCTGCGTTGTCTTGGCTGTGTGCTTCGGGTCGTTGTCCTGTTGTAAGGTGAACCTTTGTCCCAGTCTGAGGTTCTGAGCACTCTGGAGCATGTTTTCATCAAGGATCTCTCTGTACTTTGCTCCGTTCATCTTTCCCTCGATCCTGACTAGTCTCCCAGTCCCTGCCGCTGAAAAGCAATTTCACAGCATGATGCTGCCACCACCATGCTTCACCGTAGTGATGGTGCCAGGTTTCCTCCAGATGTGATGCTTGTCATTCAGGCCAAAGAGTTCAATCTTGGTTTCATCAGACCAGAGAATCTTGTTTCTCATGGTCTGAGAGTCCTTTAGGTGCCTATTGGCAATGTACCTTTTACTGAGGAGTGGCTTCCGTCTGGCCACTCTACCATAAAGGCCTGATTGGTGGAGTGCTGCAGAGATGGTTGTCCTTCTGGAAGGTTCTCTCATCTCCACAGAGGAACTCTAGAGCTCTGTCAGAGTGACCATTGGGTTCTTGGTCACCTCCCTGAGAGAGGCCCTTCTCCACCGATTGCTCAGTTTGGCCGGGCGGCCAGCTCTAGGAAGAGTCTTGGTGGTTCCAAACTTCTTCCATTTAAGATTGATGGCGGCCACTGTGTTCTTGTGGACCTTCAATGCTTTAGACATTTTTTGGTACCCTTCCCCAGATCTGTGCCTCGACACAATCCTGTCTCGGAGCTCTACAGACAATTCCTTTGACCTCATGGCTTGGTTTTTGCTCTGACAGCACTGTCAACTGTGGGACCTTATGTAGACAGGTGTGTGCCTTTTCAAATCATGTCCAATCAATTGAATTTACCACAGGTGTACTCCAATCAAGTTGTAGAAACATCTCAAGGATGATCAATGGAAACAGGATGCACCTGAGATCAATTTTGAGTCTCATAGCAAAGGGTCTGAATACTTATGTAAATAAGGTATTTCAGTAAAAAAAAAAAAAAAGAATACATTTGCTAAATATTATTGAAACCTGTTTTCGCTTTGTCATTATGGTGTATTGTGTGTAGATTGCTGAGGAAAATGTTTTATTTAATCAATTTTAGAATAAAGCTGTAACGTAACAAAATGTGGAAAAAGTCAAGGGGTCTGAATACTTTCCGAAGGCACTGTATATATAGATGTTTTTTTTACTCAAACCTCCCCCGGGCCAGATTGAATGGATTCGGCCCACAGCCTTTTGTTCCCCTCTCTCTCTCTGTCTAACCCATTATATTGAAGGCCTGTGTCTCTGTCTGTCTGTCTGTCTGTCTGTCTGTGTCTCTCTCTCTCTCTCTCTCTCTCTCTCTCTCTCTCTCTCTCTCTCTCTCTCTCTCTAACCCATTATATTGAAGGTCTGTGTTGTCTCTCTCTCTGTAACCAATTATATTGAAGTGTTGTCTCTCTCTCTCTCTCGCTCTCTCTGTGTAGAGTGTGATCCTCAGCTGCTGCACCACCTGTGTTGGTCTCCTCTGAAGATGTTTACAGAGCACGGCATGGAGACGGCTATCGCCTGCTGGGAATGGCTGCTGGCTGCTCGCACTGGAGTAGAGGTCCCGGTAAGCATATTGTAGACATCTATTGCTGGAGTTGAAGTACCATTGTGTATTTGTGTGGAAAGAGTGGTGGGACCCGGATTCAAACCCACACTAACACAGTTATTATCTCTCTCTCTCTCTCTTTCTCTTTCCCTTTCTCTTTCTCTGTAGTTCATGCGTGAGATGGCGGGAGCGTGGCAGATGACAGTGGAGCTCAAGATGGGCTTGTTCTCTGATGCTCAGGTGGAGGCTGATCCCCTAGCAGCCTCAGAGGAGAGTCAGCCTGTCCCCTGTCCCCCTGAGGTCACCCCTCACTGCATTTGGATAGAGGTGTGTGTGAGTTCAATCCAGTTTGGTTAAAGTACTAGAGTAAGAGGAATTCACTGCATGAACAGCCCTACGTGTGCTGTTTCAAAGTTTTCATTCCATGCTCCCTCCCTCCCTCTTCCAACTCCTCTTCTGCTTTCTCCCTCTCTCTCTCTCCCTCCTCTATCTCTCTCCAGTTCCTGGTTCAGAGGTTTGAGATAGCTAAATATTCCAGTGAAGACCAGGTGGAGATATTCGGGAGCCTATTACAACGCTCGCTCTCCCTCAATGTGGGTGGGGCCAAGAGCAGCCTCAACCGCCATGTAGCAGCTATCGGACCCCGCTTTAGGTCCACACACACACACAGACACATACACACACAAACACACACACAGACATACACACACAGACACACACACACAGACATACACACACACACAGACACACACACACACACACACAGACAGACATACACACACACACACACACACACACACACTAGATCCGGTTTCTGATCCAGAGCAAATTAACCACTCATTGAAGCAATGACGATGTGTGTGTCTGTGTGTCTCTGTGTGTCTCTGTGTGTGTGTCTGTGTGTAGGCTCCTTACTCTGGGTCTAGCACTGCTCCATTCCGACGTAGTCACCAACGCCACCATCAGAAATGTCCTCCGAGAGAAGATCTACTCCACCGCCTTCGACTACTTCAGGTACACACACACACACACACACACACACACACACAATAAGAGAGGAAGGAAATTATACTCCATAGTCCTTCACTACTAACATGGGAGATAACTTTCCCTCTCTAAATCAGCATCTTTACCACTAGGAGAGAGTGTCATGTTGACTCAAAACAATATGCGATATGACATTTTAATAAATCGTTTGGGGAATGGCCTCATCTCCGAGGGAAGATCCTCAAAGGCAGGTAGCCCTATGCGGGGGAAGGGAGTTCCAATGATGGCCCTTAAGGTTATTATAGATACTGGTGGTGGGGAGGTGGATGGTTGTTGAAAACTTTTACTGAAAAACAGCAAGTGAGAGAATGAGGGTAAGTTGACATAGAAATACATCCCAAGATTTACACCCATTGGTTGAGAGAGAGGAAGATGATAATTGCAAGATTGAGCCCATAGGTTAAACAGCAAGAGTGAGGAATGTGCGTTATTGGGCCAATAGGCTGTAAGGTCAATAGGTGAATGACATTCCACACATGGCTAACAGGAAAAAGGAGAAGAAACAAGATGCTAAGCTGATAATGATATGTTTGTATTCATTCCCACTATGCCCCTAGAATAGGAAACAAAGTGAATGATGTTATGCTTACTGGATGAAGTGAAATGAGCATTCAGACCATTCTTCCTGATTGAACTTTCATAAACTACATTATCACAAACCTAATTTGTGTTATAAGCAGTTTTAAGAGTACATGTCATTTTTTCCTCCTGCCCCTCATTCACCGCAAGTCATTCACTGGCAGCTGATGATGGCCTATCGAAACTAGGGGTGTGCCGACATGGCCATACTCGTAATCGTATCCGTAAATTGACAGGTGATAGTCAGATTGGATCGGATGATACTCGTGATTGGGAGAAAAAATATATATATATTTGGGCAAAATACCTCCCTGCACGTTGTCAAAGCTGCAGATTAGGAGCAGTGTGCGGAAGGGTGGGCAGCAGCAATTTAAATGATCAGACCGAAAACATGCGAAGAAAAGTGATCGGGTGAAATGATGAAGCGAGTGGATGGTACAACCACACAATTCCAACACAGAAAAAGCTGCTTTTTAATATACTTATATTGTAAGTAATGATAGGTCATATTTCATAGAATTCTGGAAAAGGAACAGTTACGTTAAATTGTATATGAAGAATCTGATGAACAGCGCAGCTTGGAATTGACACAGAGGCAGGTAAACGGAGCGCCAAAAAGTGACCTTTTTCAAATTCTCCTACCGAATCACAAGACGTTTTGATGTCTATATAGAATCAGAAAGACCATATTCTGCAGTTTCCAAATCACCTATCTCTGCCAAACAACTCTATTTCTAAATATAACTTTTGGGCAGAATTTCCGCGATTCCATGTGCTCCCAACTTGAACTCGCAACACTCAAAACACAGTAATATATTTAAACTCAAAATATGCCATTCTGTTCTTTTGAAATGCATTTTCTTAAATTCATAATGTCCCTTAAGACCTGCTCTTAACGACTTTATAATGAATGATCTTTGTGGTCTTTATTTAATGGATTTTAACCCAAATTGTGGCGTTTTAGTGGTTTTTCATTTGTACATATAGCCTACAGTTACATAAACTAATGAAAATGTTATTGTGTTCTTTGAAATACATTTTATTTCATATTCTAATGTTACCCAAGACCCTCATCGTGCTCTAGTGACTCCTTATGACAGGGCCGGGCGCCTGCAAGCTGACACCGGTCATCAGTCAAACTGTGTTTCCTCCGACACATTGGTGCGGCTGACATCCGGGTCAAGCGAGCAGTGTGATAAGAAGTAGGCGGCCAGGCGGGTCATGTTTCGGAGGACGCATGGCTCCCCTCTCCCTAGCCCATTGAGCAGTTGCAGAGATGAGCCAAGGGATCTAATTCAGGGAGAAAATGGGGTAAAAAAAATATGCTGGTGGCCAGTTTAGTACTGGGAGGAGACCGCCTGGGAATACCAGGTGCCATAAGCTAAAATATTAATAAAATAAAATACATCTATTTAATAGGCTGTTAGAATGTTGACGTTCAAAACACTTGCCATTGTTAACTAATTGTATACTTACTCTCTCTCGCTCTCTCACTTCCCTCTTCCTCTTTCCCCCCCCTCCCCCATTTAGTGCCCCTCCTAAGTTCCCTACTCAGGGGGACAAGCGTCTGCGTGAGGACATCAGCTTCATGATCCGGTTCTACGCCAGCATCCTGTCGGACAAGAAGTACCTGGCGGCATGCCAGCTGGTTCCTCCTGGTGAGCTAGGCGCCGTGCCAACCCCCAGCACCCTCTCTGCCGGGATATTCGGATCACTAATCGTGTCCAGCACTTCTCCGATATCGATGCTAAGTAAGCCTACAGCGGTGGAGACACCGGCTGATTAACAACAGCATTGCAAGACTACAGGAGCATGTTTTTACACAGGTCAAATCTGACGTCTGATCAGGCTCTTGCTGCATTGCTCAAAGATCGATACATCTTTATAGTCTGTAGAATCTCTCTCTTTATCTATATATCTATTTATTTCGGTCTCTCTCTTTTTCTCTATTTATTTCTGTCTTTTTCTATCTCTTTCTGTATCTATCTAATTCACGCTATCCATCTATTTGTCTGCTGCGGAGCAAGGCGCAGATTTGCCACCTCTGATAAAATGCATGATTGATTATTTATAATTATTATTCTACACATTATATCATGCCGATCCGCCCCTCAGCTCGATTTGTCAATTTGTCAACAAAAAGAAAACAAACAAATTGAGAAATGTGAGACGTTCTTCTTCTCCACCACCCACACCGCTCCTTCCTCCTCTCCGTGTCCCTGGCGACCCCGAGAACAACCTGATCTCACTCATAACACATCGGATCGCGCCAGGTAGAAACTAGTCCTAACCACAGATCTAGGATCAGATGACTCTACCCTCAATGGTAACCCTTTTACCATTAGGTGGGTGAAATAATGTCCGACTCTGTATCAGCGGTTAGGGGTAAATTCTACCACTGCCTGTGGGAACAACGCATGGCCATCTCATATAATACAGGACTAACGCTATATAGCTCATCATATCGCTCTTCAAAAACTCCTTCCTCTCCATCGAATGCTGAGACAATGCTCACTACCTCATTTATATTTCCCTCCGGTTCACAATGTCTTGTCCATGGATGGTGATGCATGTCAGTGTGGATTTAGACGAGAATGAATGCATTGAGTGGTAGAGAGAGGGATGCATGCCAATGTTGTTTTAGATTAATGCATTGAGGGATGGAGAGCGAGAAAGATGCAGCTAGAGAATGTGAAGGAATGAGGCGTTAGATGGACAGAGATAATTGCAGGAAGAGATGGCGATAGTTGAGTTTGTAATGGAAAGAGAGAGAGAGATAAAGAGATATGGGTAGACAGCGTTAAATAAGGAAGGACCTGAGTTTTTGCTTAGTAGATCACATAGTCAGGAAAACCCTAGGGCCCAAATATTGAGGGATAGAAATACTTAGGGTGTGATGTGTGTGTGTCTCTGCCTGCTGAGTGTCCCTGTGTGTATGTCTTCCTGTGGCTGTCCATCCATCTGCGCGTGTGTGCCTATATACAGTGCCTTCAGAAAGTATTCACACCCCTTGACCTTTCCCACATTTTGTTGTGTTACAACCTGAATTTAAAAAGGATGAAATTAAGATTTGTTTTGTCACTGGCCTACACACAATACCCCATAATTTCAAAGGGGTATCATGTTTTTAGAAATGTTTACAAATTAATTAAAAATGAAAAGTTGAAATGTCTTGAGTCAATAAGTATTCAACCCCTTTGTTATGGCAAGCCTAAATAAGTTCAGGAGTAAACATTTGCTTAACAAGTCACATAATAAGTTGCATGGACTCACTCTGTGTGCAATAATATTTTTTATGATTTTTTGAATGACTATCTCATCTCTGTACCATAAACATCTGTAAAGGTCCCTCAGTCGAGCAGTGAATTTCAAGCACAGATTCAACCACAAAGACCAGGGAGGTTTCCCAATGCCTCGCAAAGAAGAGCACCTATTGGTATATGGGTAAAAAATAAAATAAAAACAGACATTGAATATCCTTTTGAGCATGGTGAAGTTATTAATTACACTTTGGATAGTGTATAAATACACCCAGTCAATACAAAGATACAGGCATCCTTTCTAACTCAGTTGCCGGAGAGGAAGGAAACCGCTCAGGGATTTCACCATGAGACCAATGGTGACTTTAAAACAGTTACAGAGTTTAATGGCTGTGATAGGAGAACTGAGGATGGGGCCAACAACATTGTAGTTACTCCACAATACTAACCTAATTGACAGATTAGGTTAGTATTGTGGATAAGGCACTAAGTAAAACTGCAAAAAATGTGGCAAATTAATTAATTTTATGTCCTGAATACAAAGTGTTATGTTTTGGGCAAATCCAACACAACACATCACTGAGTACCACTCTTCATATTTGGTGGTGGCTGTTATAGGTATGCTTATCATCGGCAAGGACTAGGGGAGTTTTTTTTTGGATAAAAATTAACGGAATAGAGCTAAGCACAGACAAAATCCTAGAGGAAAACCTGGTTCAGTCTGCTTTCCACCAGACAAATTCACCTTTCAGCAGGACAATAACCTAAAACACGAGGCCAAATATACACTGGAGTTGCTTACCAAGATGACATTGAATGTTCCTGAGTGGCCTAGTTACAGCTTTTACATAAATCGGCTTGAAAATCTATGGCAAGACTTGAAAATATCTGTCTAGCAATTATCAACAACTTGACAGAGCTTGAAGAATTTTAAAAAGAAAAATGTGCAAATATTGTACAATCCAGGTGTGGAAAGCTCTTAGAGACTTACCCAGAAAGACTCACAGCTGTAATCACTGCCAAATGTGACTCAGGGGGTTTAATACTTATCTAATCAAGATGTATTAGTGTTTTATTTTTTATTAGTTGTTTACAAATGCTAGAATTTTTCTTCTACTTTGACATTACAGAGTATTTTTTGTAGATCATTGACAAAATAATGACAAATCTATTTTAATCCCACTTTGTAACACAACAAAATGTGGAAAGAGTAAAGGGGTGTGAATACTTTCTGAAGGCACTGTATGACTGTCTGTGTGTGTAGACAACCAGGACCCGTCTTTGAACAGTCTGTCGGTGATGACGGCCCAGGACCCCAGGAGCACCATGTCTCATGATTCCAGCTCCCGCTCCCAGCAGAGTGGCCAGAGTGGCTGGATCAACACTTACCCTCTGTCCTCTGGCATGTCCACCGCCTCCAAGAAGTCAGGTAACACACACACACGGACAGACGCAATGCACACACACACACACACACACAGAGATCTGACCTTGTCCTTTCTGTCCCCAGGCATGTCTAAGAAGAGTAACAGAGGGACTCAGCTCCATAAGTACTACATGAAGCGCCGGACCCTGCTGCTGGCCTTACTGGTGAGAGCTACAGTGGGGATTTTTACTGTGGAAGGTTTCAGTTCAGACACAGTGAAAACCTTGACAGGAACATTCCCTTTGACTCTCCCTCCTTGCTATTGAATTACTGTTAGTCTACATTCTAACCGTCCACTTTGTTGCTAGGACTGATGTCCTTCCTCTCTCTCTCCCTCCCACTCTCTCTCCGTCCCTCCCTCCCCCTCTCTAGGCCAGTGAGATTGAGCGGTTGACTACGTGGTACAACCCTCTGTGCACCCAGGAGTTGGCCATCGCTACAGAACAGTCAGTGGAGACAAGCATCGCCAACTGGAGGTCCAAGTACATCAGCCTCAGTGAGAAACAATGGAAAGACAACGTCAACCTGGCCTGGAGTATAGCTCCTTATCTGGCTATGCAGCTACCTGCCAGGTATACACACATAGTCTCACACAGACACATATACCCGGAGGGGAAACATGGAAAAGCTTTAGATTGGTTCCACCTGAATAATAATTGTTGTGTTCAGGTTTAAGAACGATTCGATCGTGGCTGAGGTGACCCGGCTGGTGAGGCTGGACCCTGGAGCAGTTAGCGACGTACCTGAGGCTGTCAAGGTGAGTCGACTGCTGAACTACAGGTTATCTGCTACACAGGAGTGGCCAATGCTTATCATACCTCAAAGATGTTTGTTGAAATAAATGTTTTTTATGTCAGAGCCGCAAAGTTCAGGTTTAAAAGTGATGGTGTTTATAATTGAACGTTTTTTTGTCATTCAAAAAAAGTATAATTGTGTGTCTGTTTTCCAGTTCCTGGTGACGTGGCACACCATTGATGCAGACTCTCCAGAGCTGAGCCATATCCTGTGTTGGGCTCCTGCTGACCCTCCCACCGGCCTGTCCTACTTCTCCTCCATGTACCCCCCGCACCCCCTCACCGCTCAGTACGGGGTCAAAGTACTACGGTCGTTTCCTCCGGTACGAAACACACACACGCACACACACACACACACACACACACACTTTATACCATCACTTATCCCAATGTATTTGTTTCTTCTCTAGGATGCCATCTTGTTTTACATTCCTCAGATAGTTCAGGCCCTGCGCTATGACAAGGTGAGTGACACTACTAACTAGCTGCTGTGTTTCTACATTATCCTATGTGTGTGTGTGTGAAAGATAAGTTTGTGTTTGATTGGCAGATGGGCTATGTGAGAGAGTACATCCTGTGGGCGGCCCAGAAGTCTCAGCTATTGGCCCACCAGTTCATCTGGAACATGAAGACTAACATCTACCTGGACGAGGAGGCACACCACAAAGACCGTGAGACACACACACACACATACAGTCACAACCAAAATTATTGGCACCCTTGATAAAGATGAGCAAAAAAGACTGTATGAAATAAATAATACAAATACTGACCAAATTGAATGCTCTAAAAAAGGGCTCTATTTGCATGTCATCCACCCAATGTAAACAGCTGGAGTTTGCTAAACGGCATTGGCATTGGATTGGAACCAATGCTATGGTCAGATGACATGAAAATAGAGCTCTTTGACCACGCACACCAGTGGTGGGTTTGGCGTCGAAAGAAGGATGCATATGCAGAAAAGAACCCCATACCTACTGTAAAATATGGTGGTGGATCTTTGATGTTATGGGGTTGTTTTGCTTCCACTGGTCCTGGGGCCCTTGTTAAGGTCCCACGGCATCATGAAATTTACCCAGTACCAGGACATTTTAGCCAAAGACCTGGGTGCCTCTGCCGGGAGGCTAATACTTGTTCGCAAGTGGATCTTCCAGCAAGAAAATTGTATTAGTATACAATAATATATTTTCCCTGTTTTTTTAGAATATACAATATACTCAGTGTTTTTATAATTGATTTTATACAGTCTTTTTTGCTCATCTTTATCTCATCTTTACCAATAATTTGGGTTGTGACTGTACTTACACACACACGCACATACAGTGGGGGAAAAAAGTATTTAGTCAGCCACCAATTGTGCAAGTTCTCCCACTTAAAAAGATGAGAGAGGCCTGTAATTTTCATCAAAGGTACACGTCAACTATGACAGACAAATTGAGGAAATAAAATCCAGAAAATCACATTGTAGGATTTTTTATGAATTTATTTGCAAATTATGGTGGAAAATAAGTATTTGGTCACCTACAAACAAGCAAGATTTCTGGCTCTCACAGACCTGTAACTTCTTCTTTAAGAGGCTCCTCTGTCCTTCACTCGTTACCTGTATTAATGGCACCTGTTTGAACTTGTTATCAGTATAAAAGACACCTGTCCACAACTTTCAAACAGTCACACTCCAAACTCCACTATGGCCAAGACCAAAGAGCTGTCAAAGGACACCAGAAACAAAATTGTAGACCTGCACCAGGCTGGGAAGACTGAATCTGCAATAGGTAAGCAGCTTGGTTTGAAGAAATCAACTGTGGGAGCAATTATTAGGAAATGGAAGACATACAAGACCACTGATAATCTCCCTCGATCTGGGGCTCCACGCAAGATCTCACCCCGTGGGGTCAAAATGATCACAAGAACGGTGAGCAAAAATCCCAGAACCACACAGGGGGACCTAGTGAATGACCTGCAGAGAGCTGGGACCAAAGTAACAAAGCCTACCATCAGTAACACACTATGCCGCCAGGGACTCAAATCCTGCAGTGCCATACGTGTCCCCCTGCTTAAGCCAGTACATGTCCAGGCCCGTCTGAAGTTTGCTAGAGTGCATTTGGATGATCCAGAAGAGGATTGGGAGAATGTCATATGGTCAGATGAAACCAAAATAGAACTTTTTGGTAAAAACTCAACTCGTCGTGTTTGGAGGACAAAGAATGCTGAGTTGCATCCAAAGAACACCATACCTACTGTGAAGCATCGGGGTGGAAACATAATGCTTTGGGGCTGTTTTTCTGCAAAGGGACCAGGACGACTGATCCGTGTAAAGGAAAGAATGAATGGGGCCATGTATCGTGAGATTTTGAGTGAAAACCTCCTTCCATCAGCAAGGGCATTGAAGATTAAACGTGGCTGGGTCTTTCAGCATGACAATGATCCCAAACACACCGCCCGGGCAACGAAGGAGTGGCTTCGTAAGAAGCATTTCAAGGTCCTGGAGTGGCCTAGCCAGTCTCCAGATCTCAACCCCATAGAAAATCTTTGGAGGGAGTTGAAAGTCCGTGTTGCCCAACAACTGCCCCAAGACATCACTGCTCTAGAGGAGATCTGCATGGAGGAATGGGCCAAAATACCAGCAACAGTGTGTGAAAACCTTGTGAAGACTTACAGAAAACGTTTGACCTGTGTCATTGCCAACAAAGGGTATATAACAAAGTATTGAGAAACTTTTGTTATTGACCAAATACTTATTTTCCACCATAATTTGCAAATAAATTCATTAAAAATCCTATAATGTGATTTTCTGGAGAAAAAAATTCTCAATTTGTCTGTCATAGTTGACGTGTACCTATGATGAAAATTACAGGCCTCTCTCATCTTTTTAAGTGGGAAAACTTGCACAATTGTTGGCTGACTAAATACTTTTTTCCCCCACTGTATGTACACACATGCACACTCACTCTTACCACTCCTTCCTCTCTCCCTCTCTCTCGCTGTCTCTCTCTCTCTCGCTCTCTCTCTCTCTCTCTCTCTCTCTCTCTCTCTCTCTCTCTCTCTCTCTCTCTCTCTCTCTGTGTAGCTGACATCGGGGATCTGTTGGAGGAGATGGTTGAGGAGATAATAGGCTCTCAGTCTGGTGCAGCTAAAGACTTCTTCCAGAGAGAGTTTGACTTCTTCGACAAAATCACCAACGTATCTGCCATCATTAAGTAAGACTAACACCCATTGTGGCAAATCTAATCTGAAATCGCACTCTATTCCCTATATAGTCCGCTACTGTTAACCAATTTGTGTTTGGACGTTGAAGTGTTGGTGTTTTTCAGGCCCACCCCAAAGGGAGATGAGAGGAAGAGAGCGTGTCTCAAAGCTCTGTCTGACATCAAAGTGCAGCCAGGTAACAACAGCTAGGTCACATTCATTTGATTTTCTCAACTCCTCCGTCCTCTCTCTCCTCCGTCCTCTCTCTCCTCCGTCCTCTCTCCTCCGTCCTCTCTCTCCTCCATTTGAAAAAGGTCAAAGGTAATCGAGGAGAGGCGGCAAGGAGAGGGAACGTGGGTGAAAATGCGCTTGTATGAATTGAGAATCTCCTTCTCCACTCACGCGTCATCAGGCAAATGACGTTTACAGGGGTGGATCCCAAAATAAATGTGTAAAGTGATAAATACAAATTAAGTTAGTTGTGCAAGACATTTGATAGATAAAAGGATAAGTGGCATATTGTCTTTAAACGTATGCATGCTTTCAAAGGGGGTATGCATGCTTTCAAAAGCTGATTCAAAGGGGGTGTGGCAGATTTTTTAATTATTCCACAAAGGATTCCGATAGGATACACATGACTGTCCTCAATGAAAGGTGGCTATCGAGGAGGGGAGGACACTTTTCCATTCGCCTACTAACGAATTGACATCTCCTCAACCACTTATCAGTTTCCTGGTCACAGAGGAGAGAGGACGGGGGACAGAGGGTGGAGGACGAACTCTTGCCCAAATTAGAAAAGGCCTATGTCTGTGTGGGTGGGGGTGCATGTTTGATTACAGTGAGGTGTATTGTAAGTATGTGAATAGTTTTGCCCTAGGTGTTTTGACCTCTGTAAGCGGTTGATTCCTATATCTGTGATTGTGCTAAGTGGAAGCAGTAGTGTAAGGTGTATGTGTGTGTCCCCCGGTGGCCATCCTCCAGGCTGCTACCTGCCCAGTAACCCAGAGGCCATCGTACTAGACATCGACTACAAGTCTGGAACACCTATGCAAAGGTACTGACTCACTGATTTTATTCATTTGATTGATTAATTGATTGATTAATTGATGATTGTCATGCCTGACCAAGACCTTCCAGTTGAAACGTTGCAATAAAGCATACAGGAGCATTCAATGGTGTGTGGAAATCTATTCCTTTCTCCGCCTATTTCAAGAAAGTAATTGAAACCCATCTCACAGGATGTACAGTATATCTGACTGCTGTCTCCGGTCTCCCCCAGTGCTGCCAAGGCCCCGTATCTAGCTAAGTTTAAGGTGAAGCGTTGTGGGGTCAGTGAGCTGGAGAAGGAGGGTCTGCGTTGTCAGTCAGACTCTCAGGACGGGGAGGACGGCGAAGACGTAGCTCGCAGGATCGTCTGGCAAGCTGCCATCTTTAAAGTGGGCGACGACTGCAGACAGGTACGATAGATAGACCAACACACACACACACCACAAGCATATTTGACATACTCAGCACTTATAAACAATACAAAAAACGCAGTCAGCATTTTTTCATAATTGTATTCTCTCCATACCTCTTTTCTTTCCCTCCCTCTGTCTTCCTCTCTCTTTGTCCTTCCAGGACATGCTGGCTCTCCAGATCATTGGTCTGTTTAAGAACATCTTCCAGCTGGTGGGACTGGACCTGTTTGTGTTTCCATACAGAGTGGTGGCTACAGCCCCTGGGGTAAGAATACCCTCCACACCCCTTTTTGCAGGCCTACGGATCAATTTCGAAATTGCACCTGGTGTATTCTACTATTCTAACTGAACAGTAAGTTAAGACCGTGACTTTTTTACCCAGTCGCAATCTCAACTTACTGTTCAGAGTTAGAATAGTAGAATACACCAGGTGCAATTTAGATTTTTTTCTCTTATGTCAGTCACTGCCAGTCACTCAATTGGCCCATGTCAGCTAAGATTTATTTTATTGGTAAATTAGTCTAGCCAGCTATCTAAACTTGTCGTAATCATGGTCGATTTACCGACGTGGGGGTCCCCCATTGATTTTGTTAGTCACTGTCACTCATATATCATATTAAAGACTGCAAATACATGTATTTCTCTCCGCCCCATGGCAAAATGAGTAGAATTGCATGAAGTTAGTTATAAAATTGCTAAATCTTCTCTAAAACTTCCATTTTTACTTTCTGCTGTCAGGGGGGGGGGGGGGGGGGGGGGCGCTAAAATGTCTACACCCTAACCCTTAGACTTTACCCTTTGTCTTGTTACTCTGTGCTGTGTAGCATCACAGTAATGGTTTCCCTGTATCTGTCTCTATGTCCAGTGTGGTGTGATCGAGTGTATCCCCGACTGTAAGTCCCGTGACCAGCTGGGCAGACAGACAGACTTTGGGATGTACGACTATTTCAGGAACCAGTACGGAGATGAGTCCACTCTGGCCTTTCAGAAGGTGAGATGTCTGTGCCCCAACCCCTGAACCCTCATCCCTGACCTGACCCTCTGTGGTATTTCTTCACTTATTTAGCAATATACTTACAGTGCCTTCAGAAGGTATTCACACCACTTGACTTTCTCCACATTTTGTTGTTACAGCCTGAATTTAAAATGGATTAGATTGAGATTTTATTTTGTCACTGGCCTACACACAGTACCCCATAATGTCAAAGTAGAATTATGTTTTTCAAAATGTTTACTAATGAATGAAAAGCTGAAATGTCTTCAGTCAATAGTATTCAACCCCTTTGTTATGGCAAGCCTAAATATGTTCAGGAGTAAACATTTCCTTAACAAGTCACATAATAAGTTACATGGACTCAATACACCCAATCACTAGAAAGATACAGGCATCCTTCCTAAACCGCTCAGGGATTTCACCATGAGGCCAATGATGACTTTAAAACAGTTACATAGTTTAATGGCTGTGATAGGAGAAAACTAAGGATGGATCAACAACATTGTAGTTACTCCACAATACTAACCTAATTGACAGAGTGAAAAGAAGGAAGCCTGTACAGAATAACATCCTGTTTGCAACAAGGCACTAAAGTAATACTGCAAATAATTTGATAAAGCATTTCACTTTTTGTCTTGAATACAAAGTGTTATGTTTGGGGCAAATCCAATACAACACATTACTGAGTACCACTCTCTATATTTTCAAGCATAGTGTTGGCTGCATCAAGTTATGGGTATGCTTGTAATTGTTAAGGACTGGAGTTTTTCAGGATAAAAAAGAAACAGAATGGAGCTAAGCACAGGCAAAATCCTAGAGAAAAGCCTGGTTCAGTCTGCTTTCCACCAGACACTGGGAGATCTTTCAGCAGGACAATAACCTAAAACACAAGGCCAAATCTACACTGGAGTTGCTTACTATGAAGACAGTGAATGTTCCTGAGTGGCCGAGTTAGTTTTGACTGAAATCTACTTGAAAATCTATGGCAAGACCTGAAAATGGTTGTCTAGCAATGATCAACAACCAATTTGACAGAGCTTGAATACTTTTTTAAATAATAATGGGCAAATGTTGCACAATCAAGGTGTGGAACACTAGAGACTTACCTAGAAAGACTCACAGCTGTAAATGAGATATTTCTGTATTTCATTTTCAATACATTTGCTAAAATGTCTAAAAACATGTTTTCACTTTGTCATTATGGGGTATTGTGTGTAGATGGGTGAGGGGGAAAAATATATATATTTAATCAATTTTGAATTCAGGCTGTAACCCAACAAAATGTTGAATAGTTCAAGGGGTATGAATACTTTCTGAAGGCACTGAATGTTTATTGTCATTAAAATGGACCAGTTGCCTTAATATACAAACATTGTGTTTAGAAGGCGCAACCTATTCTCTCTCTCCCTCGCCCACACTTTCTAGGCGAGGTACAACTTCATCCGTAGTATGGCAGCCTACAGCCTGCTGCTCTTCCTACTGCAAATCAAAGATAGACACAACGGGAACATCATGCTGGACAGCAAGGGACACCTCATCCACATAGGTACAAAATCATCCATAACATAGTCCACATGTTATCCTTAACCTCATCCACACAATCATTCATTTAATATAGCAAGGGACACTTTATTTCTCTTTGGGACAAGAAAGATAATCATTTAATTTACAGTGGGGTCTGAAATGATGGACACCCTTGATGAGCAATAATGACTGTATAAAGTAAAATGAACATACTGAGGTATATTGTATGGGGGGAAATTATATTATTTTATACTAATACAATTTCTCAGAGAAAGAGATTTTGTTTTAACAAGTAATAAAAAATGTTTATCAAAAAGTTATTGTATAAACAAAGTGAAGACTCAAACGGACAAGTAGTGAAAACTCAAACCAAGTTTATTCAACCTACTGGGTGGCTCAGCTGCAAGCACACTTTGCACATGATCAAACAACCATTTATATGTCAACTTCTTGGAACTTCTTATGTGTTGCCCAACTGTTGCGCTGTTATCTTTGAGGTTGAGCAGTCTGGTAGCAGTTCCTCTTTATGCAGTCACTTCTCCATGATGTTTATCAGTGACATCCAGTAAATTCCCATTCACAAAGTTCCTATTCACCCTTCATTGACACCTAACACCAACAACATTTGATTTGAACATGTACATGTATTATACATGTAACGTAATGAATAAGTTCTAATATAGTGACTGGAATAGGTATATTTCAAGTTAGAACCCAACACCCCTAAATATTCTAATAAATAAAGTAGTCAAAAGTTTAATATTTGTTGGATGCATTTGCAGTTCGTTTTGGTTGTTTCTCTGATTATTTTGTGCCCAATAGAAATGAATGGTAAATCATGTATTGTGTCATTTTGGAGTCACTTTTATTGTAATTAAGAATATAATGTTCCTTAACATCTAAATGAATGTGGACACTACCATGATTATGGATAATCCTGAATGAATCGTGAATAATGATGAGTGAGAAAGGGTCACAGATCATACCCCCAAGACACGCTAACCTCCCCTGTTATTGGTAATGGTGAGAGGTCATGTCAATAATTTTGACACCTACCTTTTTGAGAAAAACGAATATTACTTGTTTAAACAAAATCTCTTTCTCTGAGTAATTGTATTAGTATGAGAAAAAATAAGAAACCCGCACACTACTCTTGCTACGATCACTGCTCTTTATTAAGCTTTGCGTATCGGCCTCAAGGCCTTCGTCAGAGCTTTTGTGGGTGTTCACAACCTGCACCCCTATGTAGACATTGCTCCACCCACATCCGTTCAATGCATCGAATGGGGTTGGAGTCGAGGGAAAATAAGTAAGTGTTACCAAATATAACAATGTGCATTTCATAAGTATTCTAATAAAGTGTGTACATAAAACGTATCAAACAAGACTGTAAAACCACAATGAGGACATCGACCTATCAAGTAAGTTTTCATAAATTATTGGGTATTGTGCAAGAAAAAACGTCAGCGTAGTCTGAAGTGGCGGCATTAATTCATGTTCACATTTACAGCATAACATGCATGGGCTTTTCATCATTAAGACCTTTTGGGAATAATGTCTGGAGGGTGAAAATCCCAAAATATTATATTTTGCTTAGAGGATTATTTATATAATGTGGAATAGGTCAAGGGGTATGAATTTCTAGGCGAGGTACAACTTCATTCTCTTTTGCTCAGAGTATTATTTATATCACCTACCCTGTCTGATATCTTGACTTTCTCTATGCTACAAAATACTTTCAGACTTTGGCTTCATGTTTGAGAGTTCTCCTGGTGGTAATCTGGGCTGGGAGCCGGACATCAAGCTCACTGATGAGATGGTGATGATCATGGGAGGCAAGATGGAGGCCACTCCCTTCAAATGGTTCATGGAGATGTGTGTCAGGGGATACCTGGCCGTCAGGTAAGAGTGTGTGTGTATGTGTGGGTGTGTCTCAATCTTATTTGCATCTAAACTGTCGTTCTTTGGGTTTAGCTGATTTTTGTTTTTCCTCTCTCCGTCAGGCCCTACATGGATGCAGTGGTGTCTCTGGTCACTCTGATGCTGGACACTGGACTACCATGCTTCAGAGGACAGACCATCAAACTGCTCAAGTCAGTATATCAATAAACCACATGGGAGCATAGATTACATTTTGCAAAGTCTCTTTTGACCATTTCTGAACATGTGTGTTTGTGTTCACAGGCAGCGGTTCAACCCCAGTATGAGTGAGAAGGAGGCGGCTGCTTTCATCATCAAGGTCATCCAGAGCTGCTTCCTCAGCAGCAGGTAACACCAATGGCTCTGTCCCATTCCAGTATCTAGTGCCTTTCCTTACTCTATGGCCCTGTCCCATTTTAGCCCCTCGCTCCTTTCCTCACTCTATGGCCCTTGTCCCATTCCAGTCTCTAGGTTCTTTCCTCGCGCCTATAACCCCATCTCAGTCACAGGAAATATCTATATACATGCTAACTAACTGTCTATATACATGTTATACGTGCTAACTACAATGAGGGAAAAAAGTATTTGATCCCCTGCTGATTTTGTACGTTTGCCCACTGACAAAGAAATGATCAGTCTATAATTTTAATGGTAGGTTTATTTGAACAGTGAGAGACAGAATAACAACAAAAAAACGCATGTCAAAAATGTTATAAATTGATTTTCATTTTAATGAGGGAAATAAGTATTTGACCCCTCTGTCAGAAAGATTTCTGGCTCCCAGGTGTCTTTTATACAGGTAACGAGCTGAGATTAGGAGCACACTCTTAAAGGGAGTGCTCCTAATCTCAGCTTGTTACCTGTATAAAAGACACCTGTCCACAGAAGCAATCAATCAATCAGATTCCAAACTCTCCACCAAGACCAAAGAGCTCTCCAAGGATGTCAGGGACAAGATTGTAGACCTACACAAGGCTGGAATGGGCTACAAGACCATCGCCAAGCAGCTTGGTGAGAAGGTGACAACAGTTGGTGCGATTATTCGCAAATGGAAGAAACACAAAAGAACTGTCAATCTCCCTCGGCCTGGGGCTCCATGCAAGATCTCACCTCGTGGAGTTGCAATGATCATGAGAACGGTGAGGAATCCGCCCAGAACTACACGGGAGGATCTTGTCAATGATCTCAAGGCAGCTGGGACCATAGTCACCAAGAAAACAATTGGTAACACACTACGCCGTGAAGGACTGAAATCCTGCAGCGCCCGCAACGTCCCCCTGCTCAAGAAAGCACATATACAGGGCCGTCTGAAGTTTGCCAATGAACATCTGAATGATTCAAAGGAGAACTGGGTGAAAGTGTTGTGGTCAGATGAGACCAAAATCGAGCACTTTGGCATCAACTCAACTCGCCGTGTTTGGAGGAGGAGAAATGCTGCCTATGACCCCAAGAACACCATCCCCACCGTCAAACATGGAGGTGGAAACATTATGCTTTGGGGGTGTTTTTCTGCTAAGGGGACAGGACAACTTCACCGCATCAAAGGGAAGATGGATGGGGCCATGTACCGTCAAATCTTGGGTGAGAACCTCCTCCCCTCAGCCAGGGCATTGAAAATGGGTCGTGGATGGGTATTCCAGCATGACAATGACCCAAAACACACGGCCAAGGCAACAAAGGAGTGGCTCAAGAAGAAGCACGTTATGGTCCTGGAGTGGCCTAGCCAGTCTCCAGACCTTAATCCCATAGGAAATCTGTGGAGGGAGCTGAAGGTTCGAGTTGCCAAACGTCAGCCTCAAAACTTTAATGACTTGGAGAAGATCTGCAAAGAGGAGTGGAACAAAATCCCTCCTGAGATGTGTGCAAACCTGGTGGCCAACTACAAGAAATGTCTGACCTCTGTGATTGCCAACAAGAGTTTTGCCACCAAATACTAAGTCATGTTTTGCAGAGGGGTCAAATACTTATTTCCCTCATTGAAATGCAAATCAATTTATAACATTTTTGACATGAGTTTTTCTGGATTTTTTTGTTGTTATTCTGTCTCTCACTGTTCAAATAAACCTACCATTAAAATTATAGACTGATCATGTCTTTGTCAGTGGTCAAACGTACAAAATCAGCAGGGGATCAAATACTTTTTTCCCTCACTGTAACTGTCTGTACACACACACTATACATGCTAACTAACTATATATATACAGATGTTATACATGCTAACTAACTGTCTGTATACACATGCTATACATGCTAACTGTATACATGCTATAAATGCTAACTAACTGTCTGTATACACATGCTATACATGCTAACTGTATGCATGCTATAAATGCTAACTAACTGTCTGTATACACATGCTATACATGCTAACTGTATACATGCTATAAATGCTAACTAACTGTATACACATGCTATACTTGCTTACTGTCTGTATACACATGCTATACTAGCTTACTGTCTGTATACATGTGCTATACATGCTAACTAACTGTCTATATACACATGCTATACATGTTAACTAACTGTCTATATACACATGCTATACATGCTAACTGTCTGTTTTCTCTGTCTGTCTTTCTTCAGGAGCAAGACCTACGATATGCTGCAGTATTACCAGAACCAGATCCCATACTAAAGACCTGCTGCAGTATTATCACATACTTGGACCTGTCTGATATGAGTCCTTATTCCCTATATAGGCAGTAACATCTGCTTTATTGTATTTGTAAGGTCAGAGGTTGTCCTGTACAAAGTAATTATATTCGGCTAGCTAGCTAGCATCAAGCATCTTGTGCACTTTATAGATCATCGTATTTCACCCACCTGATTGGACCCTGATCAAGAGCTGTTACACCAGACTAGAGAATTCACATTAACCTATCAATCAACTAACCAACCAACCAATCGGCCGATTCCTGCGAAAGGCAATCACACAACCGGTTACTGAACTCCAATACAATCAGCAAATCTCACTGTCATAATACATATCACATATCAATCATATACTAATACTGTGTGTGTGTGTGTGTGTGTGGGTGTCTTTAGTAGTCAAAAGCGATAAGAGTAGATCTTCTCTCGGGGGACATTTCTAATGGTGGCGCTAGTGACTATATCTGTCTTGAGTCAATCACATACTGTGTGTGTGTGTGTGTGTGTGTGTGTGTGTGTGTGTGTGTGTGTGTGTGTGTGTGTGTCCGTGTGTATCAGCTCCAAGGTGCTTGGGTCCAGTACAGGATAAACCAATGTTTGTTTACCTACTAACTCTGCATGTCTCAAGACCAGACCTTTACTAGTATTAACGTCTTACATGGATTTAGTAGCTGTCTTAAACGTGTCTGTGTGATTTCTATTTGGAGACATTCCTCTTTCTGTACAAAGAAAGATTTTCACCTTCAACCCTCTACTTGAATCTACAGGATTTGGGTTTATTATTATGATGGTGGTGATGTTGATGAAAGCTATGAAGACCCAAAAAGCCATTTCTCTAATGCTTGGCACAAACAGAAGTGTAATTACATAACAACTACTCTCCTCTGATGTTATGCAAGATGTTACCGTCTTAATGTGTGTCAACATATGAGATTGCTGTCATCCCTTCAAAAACCCTGCTGTCATCATGCTGTACTTGTATAAATTTTCGGTCTTTATGAAGATGTTTTACTTGATAGTCTGTAAAGATAATGAATCTTACATCTGTCTATCATTTTAGATTAAATGGTATGTATTATTTTTTTTCGTAATGGATATGTTATAATTAACTTAAGGATATTTTACTTGGATGTATAAGATGAAATACCCTATGTATGTATTACAGATTTGTGATATGAAGTATATTACAGAGTGCTGTATGTTTGTAATGGCTAACAAGACATGCATTTCAGACCAATAAGAAAGAGCTGTTACATTATTAACCCCTAGTTGTACAAGGCTGAGTATATTGCTGTAGTATTTTTAATTGGACTATTATTGTTTGATTTAATGTTTATTTTATACTGTCACTGTCCTCTGTCAGCCACTGTCTGCACCTTTCTGGCTATCAGGTCTAAGTTCTACAATATCAATCTCTCTCTCTGTGCGTGTGTGTGTGTGCACGTTACAGACCCCCCTCCCCTATGTATAATTGTGATGAAGTGCTGAAACATAAACCCCAGTTGCAGCTACAAACACTTGACGTGTGTGTCTGTGTCATTGATCTATTTCTGCTGTTTTAAAACGTAGTCATTAAGACCTGGGTATGGGATTATCCTTGCCAGGACAGGTGCTACTCTACTACACTTAAACAGTTTGCACTTGTCCAAAGACGCTTTCCAAAAGATAAACAACAATGAGTATTTTCAGGCAGCAACTCTTCTGTTTCAAAGTGTTTGCTCCCATCCCCTGCTAACTGGCCTATGTAACCTTTTTTAATTAATGAATTCAAACATCACTTCGTGGTGAGCTGGGCTGAAGAAAACATGTCCAGTAGTATTAAAATAGGGTCTGTCCTCAGATGCTCTAACGCTTACCTTTAGACTATTGGTTAACAACGTTCTGGCCTATCGTGCCTTCCTGCCCCATGCGACTCTAAATCAGGCATTTCTGCCCCGCGTGCTGATCTGTGTGGGGGTAAGGTGGGTGAATTGGATTAAACAGCCTGTGGCCTTGAAGAATCAGTTGGATGGTCTCAGATCCACCAGATTACTGCCTGCCACAAGCATCTTAGGTGGCCAGTAATAAACTGGTCCTGAACATCTCTAAAACTAAGGGCATTGTATTTGGTACAAATCATTCCCTAAGTTCTAGACCTCAGCTGAATCTGGTAATGAATGGTGTGGCTGTTGAACAAGTTGAGGAGACTAAATTACTTGGTGTTACCTAGGATTGTAAACTGTCATGGTCAAAACATATAGATTCAATGGTTGTAAAGATGGGGAGAGGTTGGTCCGTAATAAAGAGCTACTCTGCTTTTTTGACACCACACTCAACAAAGCAAGTCCGGCAGGCTCTAGTTTTATCTTATCTTGATTATTGTCCAGTCATAAGGTCAAGTGCTGCAAAGAAAGACCAAGTTAAACTTCAGCTGGCCCAGAACAGAGCGGCACGTCTTGCTCTTCAATCAGAGGGCTAATATTATTACTATGCATGCCAGTCTCTCTTGGCTAAGAGTTGAGGAAAGACTGACTGCGTCACTTCTTGGAAATTCCAAATTGTTTGCATAGTCAACTTACACACAGTATTGACACACACACTTACCCTACCAGACATGCCACCAGGGGTATGCATAAGTATTCAGACCCTTTACTCAGTCCTTTGAAGCACTGTCGTAGAAATTCTTACACAGGGACACTCAATCTTAAAATAAGAATTGTTTATTGTCAGCGCGCTGGAGAGGTCCCAACCAACTCAATGCACCATATGTACCAGCAGTTGTCTTATATACGGCTATACACAGACAAGTTATATTTGCATGATTTAGCATAAATTAATCATTACCATTTTGTTTCATTAATGTGACAGACCAATACTGGTTCATAACATGTGACAGACCAATACCTCATGAGGCTTCTTCTCTCTAAGCTGAGACCTTGAACGTGAGATATCTTTCGTTCTCAAAACAAGGTCTGGGCGTACTGCCAAATTGCAGATAAAGATAAGTGAGGATTCGTCCAATCAGTCACTTGCATGAACACAGAAATTGGTTATTAGAACATTACATGGATAGAACATAGAAATGTATAGAATAGAAAAGCACCAACATTAACATTTCCATCACAGCACCTTTGGCAGCGATTACAGCCTAGAGTCTTCTTGGGTATGACGCTACAAGCTTGGCACACCTGTATTTGGGGAGTTTCTCCCATTCTTCTCTGCATATCCTCTCAAGCTCTGTCAGGTTGGATGGGGAGCGTTGCTGCACAGCTATTTTCAGGTCTCTCCAGAGATGTTCGATCGGGTTCAAGTCCGGGCTCTGGCTGGGCAACTCAAGGACATTCAGAGACTTGTCCCGAAGCCACTCCTGCATTGTCTTGGCTGTGTGCTTAGGGTCGTTGTCGTGTTGGAAGGTGAACCTTTGCCCCAGTCTGAGGTCCTGAGCGCTCTTGAGCAGTTTTTCATCAAGGATCTCTCTGTACTTTGCTCCGTTCATCTTTCCCTCGATCCTGACTAATCTCCCAGTCCCTGCCGCTGAAAAACATCCCCACAGCATGATGCTGCCACCACCATGCTTCACCTTAGGGATGGTGCCAGGTTTCCTCCAGACGTGACGCTTGTCATTCAGGCCAAAGAGTTCAATCTTGGTTTCATCAGACCAGAGAATCTTGTTTCTCATGGTCTGAGAGTCTTTAGGTGCCTTTTGGCAAACTCCAAGCGAGCTGTCATGTGCCTTTTACTGAGGAGTGGCTTCCGTCTAGCCACTCTACCATAAAGGCCTGATTTGTGGAGTGCTGCAGAGATGGTTGTCCTTCTGGAAGGTTCTCCCATCTCCACAGAGGAACTCAAGAGCTCTGTCAGAGTGACCATCGGGTTCTTGGTCACTACCCTGACCAGGGCCCTTCTCCACCGATTGCTCAGTTTGGCCGGGCGGCCAGCTCTAGGAAGAGTCTTGGTGGTTCCAAACTTCTTCCATTTAAGAATGATGGAGGCCACTGTGTTCTTGGGGACCTTCAATGCTGCAGAAATATTTGGGTACCCTTTCCCCAGATCTGTGCCTCGACACAATCCTGTCTCGGAGCTCTACGGACAATTCCTTCATGGCTTTGTTTTTGCTCTGACATGCACTGTCAACTGTGGGACCTTATATAGACAGGCGTGTGCCTTCCCAAATTTACCACCGGTGGACTCCAATCAAGTTGTAGAAACATCTCAAGGATGATCAATGGAAACAGGATGCACCTGAGCTCAATTTTGAGTCTCATAGCAAAGGGTCTGAATACTTATGTAAATAAGTTATTTCTGTTTTTTGTTGTATTTGTATTAGCAAAACATTCTAAGAACCTGTTTTCGCTTTGTTATTATGGGGTATTTGGTATTGTGAGTAGATTGCTGAGGAAATGTTTTTCTTTAATCGATTTTAGAATAAGGCTGTAAGGTAACAAAATGTGGAAAAAGTAAAGGGGTCTGAATACTTTCCGAAGGCACTGTATGTGTAACTGATACACACACACACACACACACACACACACACACACACACACACACACACACACACACACACACACACTACATGTTAATGTCTTTAAAATATATGTAAATTATAAAGTATTTTGTCTGTAATGTATTTTTCTTTATGTGTTGGACCCCAGTAAGACTAGCTGACGCCATTGGTTTCGGCTAATGGGGATCCTAATAAATCAAATCAAATCTTAGACCTGAGACAGGGCAGGGCAAGGCTAAGGACCAATTAGCCAGCCTGGTTATGTATATCTTGGGATAATAGGAGCTTGTTATGACAGACCTCAACCCAGGGCCGGCGTTATGGGCAGGCCTTAGGCACCCTGGCCCGCCCTACCATACCTCCTTCCTCATTCAAATAAGATATTGAAATATTGATAATTTATATGGCAGAGATGCGTGCCGACAGAAAGACGCATCAATCTCAGATAAAGCATCCGAACGAGCGAAACAACGCCATCTGTCTCAGTATGTGTAGACCATGTATCTACACATACATGGATAGATACATGGGCTACATATAGTAAGACAGACGGGCGCTGTTTCGCTTGCTCGAATGCTTTCTTTGTTGAGATAGTTTCAGCCACTTGCAATATAGGGATGTAGTGCTGCCGTGGAGCGGTGCAGAATACACGGAGCTGGTAAAAATATTAAATTAATGATTTAGTTGCAGCAAAAATTCCATGAAAACGATAGAATGATAAAGTAAATAAATATCTAGGCTTTTACAGCCTATACGTAGGTAAATCGTGGTTTCTTCCCTGTCTTCTCTCTCTCTGGCGGTGGCGGGAATGATGAATAACTATAGGCGTGTGCAGAGTCCGGTCGGTTGAAGGCTTGACCACTGAACAAGAACAGACACAGACAGAAAATTGTGCCAGGGGTTTCTAAAACGGCTGTTCTCAAAACAGTTTGTTATGGACTTGGGGTTGGGGATCATGACTCGCCCTACTGTCCGAGTGCTTACAGAAACAGTACCACCTCTATTGCGTATGCAAACAAACTGATCCACCGCATGAACCTTATAATCACGCCAATGAAATCTAGCATCCAAATTTACCGCCT